GCCTGGCATTTGGGTTTATAAAACACGGTTGATAGTATTAAATACTAGAATATATAAAATTGGCTATTTTAAAAGAATAGAAGCTTCAGATATTACATGTATTTGTATGACTATATGAGTATATGAGTGAATTTTAAGTTATATCATGTCCTGGCATTCTAAGACAGCCCCTGTGTTATTCTCTGAAAATTAAAGTCCTTTTTTAGAGATGAAGGTAAACATTGAACTGTTCATCACAAGGTCAGTGGTTGAAACCCACCAGCCACTCTGTGGGAAAGAGATAAGGCTGTCTGATTCCATCGAGATTTATAGTCTCAGAACCCCTGGGGAGATTTGTTGGGCGTCAGAAGAGACCTGATGCCATGAGCTCAGTGTGGGGATTTTGTGAATGTAGCTCAGCTGATGTTGTCAGTCTCTATTTCTCTAGTAGTTTCAAGACATCGACTTTCCCAAATCTAGAGATTTCTGTGCACTTGGGCATTTTGTTTGAAAAGAAATGGCCGTGATACAGTAAGAACATGGAAAAGTCAAACCTCGGTGCTTTTTTAAGCCCAACTGAAGAACACATTCCTGCTGTAGGTCATCCCTCTGTTAGTTTCACAGCTACAAACAATAAAATTGAGTTGTCAGTGTTGTTTTTACTAAAAAGACATTACTTCTGTGGTTTTGCCCGTGGAAATCTTGTTCTTTACAAAAGACTGAAAACCAGAGTGTGGCTGGCTATTGTAAATTCTTCTGCCAGCAGTGGCTTGGTAATTAATCTCAAGATGGCAGGAGTTAGCTTTCGCGGGGAAAGCAGGCCATATTTGTGCAAGTGTTCAGTATGTGACTCATCCGTGTTCCTGTGCTGTTGGGTGACTTCCAGGTCTTTGCCAGAACTAACCTTAGACATCTGCATCAAATCAGACCTCCTTGGTTGAGATCCGAGTGTAGTCTTTCCCAAATACAGGCATCCTGTCTCTTCTGAAGCCCAAGCTTGAGAAGATCCCATGCAGACCCACCATGACTGGAGATGTCTCTCGAACAAAGAAGAGGATAGAATGCAGCTAGGTGTACAGTGAGCAGTTTATATTTCTCTTCAGTACGCCAAAGACTCAAATGCAAAATTTGGCATTCTTTTTAGGAGAGTTAGTAAAAGGGGCCGTGCCCTCCAGGTTGCAACACCCAGTAGAAACACTAGTACTTCCACCCCCCACTTCTCTAGGGTGCTCCAAACCACCCTTGTGCTCTGTCATCGCTTGTACAAAGGCAGAGGGAATTGCTTTTTGTCAGAAAACCTGCACACGTTCCACGTCTCGCTTTCAATATCATGACTATTGAGCACTACACTGCACTCCGGCTTTCAGATGCTCCGTCCTCCTAGCTTTGCTTTTCCTCAAATAGTAATGTTGGAGCGTTAACTGCCTTGTCTGTGTGTTTATGACTTTCGTTTTTCCTAGTTCCACCATTCTATTTCCAACATTTGGACCACATGGGGAGAAGACTGGACCACTATGAGAAGCCAGAGCTATCTTTAGGATCTTATGAATATGTTGCTACTTTGGATTACTGCCGAGTAAGTGTTCCCAGGACTTCCGTATTTATGCACGCCACATCCAAGTGGATGGTTTTTGCATGTTAGGAATCGACTCTTGCACTCGACTGCTGATGCCTGTTGCATGGAAAGCCCTGTGGCACGGTGCCTTGCAGACACAGAGGCAGCCTAACATTGTTAAGTTGCCAGTCACCGAAGTTACCATTTCCACAATCTACACAGTGGTACCAGAAATGGAAAACAATTGGCTTTTTATGCCCCTACCATAAACCTCAGAGCTGCACATGGTCTTGTACAAAGAATAATAAAGGGAACCTGGGTGTCTTCAACGGTTCATTGCTTAACTGCTGGAGAAAAGGTTGTCTTTGTGACCCACCCAGTGGTCTAGAGAGCTGTTTCCAAAAGGTCACTTGAAGACCCAGGAGCAGTTCTCCGCACTCGGGGGGTTGCAATGATTCAGAAGGGACCAGCCAGCAGATGGAATACATGGTGTTCTTAAAAAGATGTTCCACACAGTGCCATCCCACTCCCTTGTTCTATGGGGCTAGCAGTCCCATAAATTTCCCTTCAAAGGCAGAACCGGAACCAGCATGCTCAGCAGGACAGTTGACATCTCCCTATGGCCTTCTTCCCTAACGCAGTTGTCACCTCCCCTCAGCATCTCCCTTAGGCTAATAATTCCACAGCCCGAGTTGGGTTGAATGAATGAATTGGGAGCTGCGTTACTACTAACTGGTTACCTTCTCCACCGTCAACATGACACTATGATGGGCACCTTGCCCATCTTCAGGGATCTGTGTCTCTTGAGCTTCCTTTGGGATTTCGGTTTATAGGTGAAGCACCCTCTGTAGACTTGAACAAGCAGGCCATTCTGACTTTGCTTCCTTGCTTCCCTTCCAAAAATGAATGCCAACTAATACTCCATTCCTGGAAAGCTATCCCAGCTGTCTTCCTTAGATCTTAGTCCATGTAGTAGGAAGCCCACGCTCACGTGTCTTCTCCAAGAGGGCCGGCAGCGCCCAGTGGGGCCTGCGGCTGACCAGTTCTCAGTTATTTCACTGACTGTCTGTTACTCATTTGGATCTTAAATGCTGTAAGAGGGGGCCTGGATCCAAGTCTCCCTCTCCCAGGGAAGGGGCCACTGTGCTGGAGGGATTTCCTCTGCAACAGGAAATCACCCATGTTTCACTCGTCCTTTTACTCAGCAGATCTCCTGGCAAAGGTGAGATTCTCGCTGTGTCTGTTATGAGAATGTATCCTGATGGAAATGAAGTAATAACCCAGGATTACACTTAATCTAAACAGATTTCATGGATAACTTGGATTTTGACCACACATCACAGAGAACCTTTTTTTCCAGGCCAGAAAATTCTCCAATTGATTAGATTTCTATTTTTCGGTGAAATAGACCCACTGTGTTTAGTTTAGCTTTTGGCAGTTTTGCACCGCGTTACATGGGACTAATTAAGAAAGACAATGTGATGCTGTGTTATTTTTACAACTAAAGCTTGGACACATGATCTTGGGAAACGGAGGAACCTTTTTAGGACAGATGCTTTCTTTCAGGCAAAAAAGCATGTCTGAGTACCAACAGTCTGGGTCATGTACTTGTTCTTTGCTGCTGTTGACTGAAGGAAAATCATTAGGCAGATGGAAATGTTTGATACTCTAATTAAATGTAATAAAGGGATTGTAACTCGTGATGGAACATTTTTCTGCTGATCTCTGCAACCATAGTCTAAGTCTCACTCTGTTCTAAATGCCCAGCTCTCTGCCAGCAGGCTACGTTATCCTGATCTGAGGCTGTTTTAAGGAGAAACCTAGGCAGAGAGTCAAATCTGTGCCTGGGAACACAAGTCTTGGTATCTTCCAGCTCTGTTATCTGGAAATGTTCCAGATGTCTAACTGATGGGAAATCTCACCCAGCAGGCAAGGAAAAAATAAAATTAGTGTATTTCTGAAATGTATGCCAAGGAAGAAGAAGAATTAAAAATGCTGTAAATATCATCAAATATAATTATGATTCATATAATCTAAAATGTACATAATGTACAGTCATAAATTGGCTTAGGGATTTGGCTGATGAAAAGAGCTTATTTGATTTGTAATTTTTAGCACCATACAAAACTGGAAGGAAAATAATGAAATCATGCTTTCCTCTATTCATTTGAGGGAATTTTAAATTTCTTGGATGCCAACTACAAGTAATGCAATTAACATTTTGAAGCATTTCCTGTGTGCTGGGTGCGGTGCTAGGACTTCCTCTGAGTGATATCTTGTACTCTCAGATATGACCATTAATGGAGGCAGCTGAGGCTCAGACTAGAGCTTAGTACCGGCTTCTGGTCGTACAGCTAGAAAGTAGTAGAATGAGACTGAAAGCTCCATTTACATGACCAGAAAATAGCAGGGCTGTTGAGTTGACTCCAGATCATGGCCAACAGAGTGAGTGGGGGATGTGATGGATTAAGGAACCCAGTGATGATGCCGTGACCGTTCAGGCACAAGATGTCAGACGCCCATGTTCAGCCCAGCGCTGGGGTGAAATGTTATACTGGAGCATTGTGAAAGAGAAGTCAGTGACAGAAAGAGAAGCAGCCATCAGATCCGAATCCATATTTTCAAACCTTGGACCTAGGGTCTAGGAAGTTTGATAAGAGATAAAGACGTTAGAAGAGAATGTGACTTAGAAGAATGTATTAATTCTTATGTATGTACTTAGAAAGAAAGTCATGAACCCTGTAGAAATGGACAGGTTAGAGATACAGAAAACACACAGTGAGGAATCGGTAGTATTGAACTTAGGAGAAAATTAAAAAATGATAAGGCATCTACTGATTTGTTTCAGTATTCAGTTACACATCAACATAGGCTTTGACTATCAAATAAATTAGGTGTGAGAACTAGGAATGGTTTGCGATAAAAAGTAATCATACATTTAGTAGTAGGATATCTTCTTTTGGGGGCCCACCTGATTTTGGTAAATATGGCAAGATATTTTTAAGTCCTATGTTTCAAAATTTCAATCGAGTGATATTATAACCAGACTTGTAAAGGATGCAGAATAAATCATAAGCTAATCGGGGAATGTTGTCATATTTTATAGTCATATTAATTAAGATACAATTTTTAAAATAAAATGTTTGGTGACCATAATGCTAAACATGAAAAATATTTTTCACTCTTTATTCTCTGTGAGTCACTGAAGTTGTTTGCCTGTGACTGACTCTCTTTTGTAAATATTTTGTGAGACCCAAACTGAAGAATTGCATCCCGAGAGCTAGTTGAACATCAGCCAGTAGTGGGATGAATAGCTACAAAGCATTTTCATAGCAGCTGCTTTATATTGTAGTTATTACTATTAAAGAATGAACATTCCATTTTTTCCATAGACATAAGAAATTAGGGACGTTTCTAAGAATATGGTAAAATCTTAGAAAAGTTGACACATTTTAGCTTATATATTCTTTAAAACAGAATATATATGTGTATCTGTATATATGTGTGTATATGTATGTATATGTGTGTATATGTGTGTGTGTATATCTATACACACTTTATATATATATGTATATAAAGACATTTGAAAAGAACCAGGTCCAGTGTAGTAAAGCTTTGGGACCATTTTAAGAAACAGTTGTGCATATCCATCCAGACCTATTTCTTCCCAGGTGCAGTGTCGTAAACCTGGCTGGCCACAGTACCGCAGTGACCACCAGTTATGTGCAGGAACAAAGTCTTTGAAGCTTTCCCAGAATGAACCTAATTCAATAGTAGGACCCAGCTCTTACTCTGAAAAGGAATGAGTTCCTTTTATCATTTTTATAACATCATCAGACTGTGCACTAAAACATGATTTAATGCCACAGACGTTATATCCTAAATAACAAATGAAACATCTGTTGACCTTTGAGAGTGTGTTCTAGTGAGCGTTTTAATTCGATTATGAAATGAACATCATTTCTAATTATATCTCTACTTGTATTTTTTTTTCCTGTAGAAAAATAAGCCTCCCAACCCACCAGCCTTTATCTTCATGATTGATGTTTCGTATAGTAACATAAAGAACGGTCTTGTGAAACTCATATGTGAAGAGCTGAAGACTGTGCTGGAAAACCTTCCAAAGTAAGAGAGCTGCTGTTCTGTTTGTAAGCTAGACATGTCGATGAGCTGATACGTTGGCCGGGAGACCAGCCCCAAGAGACCCACGGGTACCTCTTACTATCGAGGGCTTTGAGCCATTATTTAAAAATCACATGCTACCCTTCTTCTGTGTCTTAAAAAAGCCAGAGCGACCTGTTGTAATCAAAGCAAAAGAAACAAACGGATACAAATAAAGCTATGATTTAGGGGGAGAAAAATTCTAAACACATCATCAATTGTTGAGAGAATCCCAACAGAGTGGTGGGAAGGACTTTAGAAGCCTGTTCTGAATTTTTCAAAACCTGGGTATGGGAGGGGGTTTGAGGGAGTGCCAAAAAACCGATGGCAGAGGCAGTTTTTTGTTTTGTTTTTTGTTTTTGGCAAATGCGCGTCTGCTCGTGCGCACTGTCAGACCCAGGGCAGCGAGCCTGCCTCCTCTTCATCCTTTAACAGCACAGGATACATCACTTGGCCTTCGTACTGCTGAGGTCAGTGCATGCAAGGAACGGTATTTTGGAAACCTAACTATTTTAGTTCTATTAGTGTTGATGTTTAGGAGAGGGAACTAGCACCTAGTGAAGGGCCTTACCCGCAGGGAGAATGGCTGTCTTTGTGGGAGGAAGACGTTTAAGAAAATAAAACAGGTGAAGAGATGTTGTCTGTCTCCTAGTGTCTATAACAGGCTCAGCATCTCCCACCCCTTTATTAGCTCCCTGGGCATAAGCATAAGCATTCTGTCTGTTCTGGGCAGGAGGAATGGTCAGCGGAGAAGGCATTCTTATATCTTCAGCCTTCATGGGTCCCCGAATCCTAGGGCTACCAGGCCTCTGTGTTCCTTCCACCTGTCACTGCTGCTTTGTTCAGAGAAGGTGCAGATGAATGAACTCAGGACCTCCCAGGAGTCACCTTGTTTGTATCTGTGACACTGCAGTCATAATATTCTCGAGCGTGGTGTGGAAAAGCCGTGGGGATGTTTAAAAAACACTGGGGTGATGTCAAACGGAATTCTTAAGTGACGAATGAGCAAGTTGGGGAGGGGAACGTAAGCCAGGCGCCTGCCTACCGTCTGCAGGATTGCTTGTGTGCCTGTCATGTCTCTTCCCTGACACTGCAGACACACTTAGAGAAGTCAGGGCTTTCCACCGCTCCTGCTGCCGCTTCGAAATGGAATTCTCTCCCGCAGGGCTTTCTTGATTCTGTCTCCTTTTCTTAGGGCTGCCCTAAAACAACCGAGTTTATTATCTCACCATACTGAAGGCCAGGGAGTCAGCAGGGCCCTGTTTTCTGACCGCTCTGACAGGAGGAGCCTTTCCGGTCTCTGTCAGCTTCCGGTAGTCGCTGGTGTTTCTTGGTTCTCACCGCAACACCAATCATCAGCACGGCCACCTTTCCTGTGTCTGTGTTTCCCCAGTCTCGCAAGGAGCCCCTCAGAGAGGACTAGTCCCCACACTGCTTCAGTATGAGCCGCTGACCCAGCCGATGCCAACGCCCCTATTGCCCAACAAAGTCACATTTGTAGGTACCCTGTCTTTTGAGAGGTCAAAATTTAATTCGTAAGCTTTTCCGAGTCGGAATTTGAAGATGAGGCCTTCTATGCCCATAAAGAGTGACAGTCCCAGAACATCCCGGGGCAGTTTTCCCCGGTCCTCTGGGATCGCTGTGAGTCAGCATCGACTCCGTGGCAGTGATTTTGTTTGTTTTGCGTATCAAAGGAAACTGATTCTGTTCTCTGCCCCCTTGGTTCAGATTATGCCAGCTTATTTTCACAGTCAGTTATTGCATGAACCCTTTGTTTCTTTACAACACCGTTACAACCTTACATACTTTCCTTAGGTGCCGTCATCACGTTTACCCTCCAGTTGGAGGAGCAGTGTGATTGTGGTAAAAGATGGGAGAGGGAATTATAAAGGATGTTGTTGTTGTTAGGTGCCATTGACTCAGATCCAACCCATAGCGACCCCACGCACAACAGAACGAACCCCTGCCTGGTCCTGCGCCGTCCTCACCCTAGTTCCTACGCCTGAGCCCATTGATGCAGCCACTGGGTCCGTCCATCTCCTGGGGGCCTTCCTCTTTTTCCAGCCCCTCCACTTGACCAAGCATGATGTCCTTCTCCAGGGACTGGTCTCTCCTGACAGTACGTCCAAAGTATGTAAGACAACGTCTTGCCATCTTGCCTCTGGCTTTACTTCTTCCAATACAGATCGGGTTGTCCTTTTAGCAGTCCGTGGTACTTTCAGTATTCCTCTCCCACACCGCAATTTGAATGTATCGATTCTTCCACGGTCTTCCCTGTTCATTGTCCAGCTTTCGCTTGCAAATGATGCAATGGAGAATACCATGGCTTGGATCAGGCTCACCTCAGTCCTCAAAGTAACATCCTTGCTCAAAAGAGTTCTAGTGCAGCTGATTTACCTAATGCAGTATGCCTTTTGATCTCTGACTGCTGCTTCCATGAGCACTGATTATGGATCCAAGCAAGGTAGAATCCTGGGCAACTTCAACTTTTTCTCCATTGATCATGGTGTGACCTATTTGTCCAGTTGTGAGGACTTGGGTCTTCCTTACTTGAGTTATAATCCATCCTGAAGGCTACAATTTTGGTCTTCATCAGCAAGTGTTTCAAGTCTTCCTCACCTTCAGCAAGCAAGGTTGTGTCAGCCACATGCCGCAAGTCGTTAATCAGCCTTCCTCCAATCCTGATGCTACACTCTTCTAGATACAATGCAGCTTCTCTGGTCATATGCTTGGCACAGAGAATTAAACAAGTGTGGTGAGAGGATACAACCCTGATGCATACCTTTCCTGATTTTAAACCATGCAGTATTCTCTTGTTTTGTTAGTACAACTGCCCTATGATCCACATGAGCACAATAAAATGTTCTAGAATTCGCATTCTTTTCAAGGCTATCCAGAGTTTGTTGTAATGAACACAGTCAAATGCCTTTGTTTAGTCAATAAAACACAATAAATGTCTTTCTGGTGGTCTCTGGTTGGAGTCAAGATCCATCTGAAATCAGCAATGATATCCCTCATTCCACATCCTCTTCTGAAACCAGCCTGAACTTCTGCCAGTTCCCTGTCAATGTACTGGTGGGCAACCATTGCCCACCAGTGTGTCATACTGCTGTGGCTTGTGTGTTGCTGTGACACTGGAAGCGATGTCACGAGTATTTCAAGTGGCAGCAGGGTCCCCACAGTGAACAGGTTTCAGCAGAGCTTCCACTCAGAACAAAGACGAAGGACTCTGCTCCCCACTTCAGAGGAAGACGCCACTGAGAACCCGTGCATAGCTTCAAAGCATTTTCAAATTAAATGGATACTGCTGGCTCTTACTGCCCATTTTTCAAATAGCTCAGTTTTTAATCATACTGAAAATACCTTTTTACCTTGTCACACAGTATATTTCCCCTGAGGTATATTTAGGAGCATGTCTGTCTGTAGATTTGGATGTTTCTTATGGTTAGAGTACCACGGTTGGGTTCACCTCCTGGAACCAAAGCAGATACCATGCGAGAGTGTTTTGAAGTGCAGCCTAAGTCTTGTCATTAAGCATTGGGACGTGTCCATTTCTTAGCTAGTCTTTTGAAAAAGAGAAGCCCTCGTTCTTCTCTACCTAACTTTGAATTTATATCTTTGGTCTTGCCAGGTTGCCTTTCGATCTGACTTCTCTGGAGCAGGAGAGAAGAGATTTGCAGAATTCCACCTGGTGTGCAGAGCAGGGTCTTGGGGGTTTTGTTTGGCTTTTAACACATGTTCTAAGCACTGGGTTTTGGAATATTCTGGTGCATCTCGTTGCTAGCATCCTCAGAGAGATTCTATCCGCTAGGATATGTCCTGACAGTTCACTCCGTGAAGATACTGGGGGCAGGCGTGTAAGGAATTGAAAAGAAGAAGGTACAACACAAGGTGTCGATCTTTAATAACGCTTCCGCGTTCCCTCCAAACCTGTGTAGTGTTCGTGTGAAGGAGTGGCTGGGACCCCGCTCTCTCCTCAGGCATGATTCCCGGAGGTGGGGGGGCACTGCTGCAGAAACACTGAAGGCCGTTCTTGGTGGCACAAACACTCTTTTTTAAGAGACTGTTCCCATGGAAACAAGCACTACTATTTTTCAGTAACATGAGATATTCCAGATGCAGCACTGTTTTGAAAACTGTTAGATTGTATGTGAACCCTATGAATCCCAGGATACTCCTTTCCCATCTCTTGAAAATGTCCAAATCCAGCATTCCAGGGATGTCTCGGTCTCTCTTTCCTTGGCGTCTTTTGCCCTCGTTGATGCCACATGAGTTGCTTAGAGGGAAGGAAAGTCCCTCGGGACCTCCTGGGTGGACCAGAAGGGTTGCTGGGTAATGAGAGTATGCCCCGAGCTCTGCTGGCAAGCTGGCCCACATGCAAAATAGACAGAGCCCTGATTGGTGGACTTGGCTGATTTCTGTGATGGAAGCACCCTCGTCCTCACTGCGTTGCCCCTCCAGGGTGGTGTCAATAAAACGGCACTGGAGAGAGGTGCGCACGATCACCTTATTCATTAATTTGGTCTATAACTTGCCATCCCCCAAACAGGGCTCTCCCATCAGAGTAACCATGACCAGGAAAGCTTTGATCTCCTACAAAGTTCCCTACAGAGAGGATGAGATAAAATCCTTCCACCTCTTAGCAGTTTATAGTCTCAGCCTCCTGGAGAGATCACTTAAAAGCATTATATGCTAAGAGCCAAACCAGAGTGCTTTCTGGGATTTCAGAAGAGGCAAGAACTTCTGGTAGACAGTCTCAGAGAAAGATTTGTGCTGGGTCCTCTTCCTAACGAGGTAGGAGAAAGGAGAAGGGGGAAGCGTGCAGGCAGTGGGATCACCCAGACATGGAGGGGGGTGTGTGTGAGAGAGCGAGAGAGATTACAAAGGATAATGACCCCTACTTCTGAAAATGTGGCATGAGACTTGAGGATATAAATGTTTACCAGGTGATTTTTGAAAGGGTGATGAGAGTCTATTTTAAGTGTCCTCTCTACCCAACCCCACATATGTCAAGTCCACAATGAAGGACCAATACCCTCAGATAGCAAAGGACCTCGAGAAGAAATAAAACAGAGTCCCAAGTCACTTAACCACCAGCCGCTCCTTAGGAGAAAAACGAGGCTCTCTACTCCCCTGGGGGGAGTGACGGCCTCAGTGACCTACAGGGCCAGCTCTCCCCGGCCCTGTGGGGTCACCGTGAGTCAGCTCAGACTCCATGGCGGTGAGTTTGGTGATGTGGCTTTGCCAGCTGTACGGGGTTGAACCCTCACGTTTGCAGTGGGTTGGGCCATTTGAACTTCAGAGACTTAACATCTGGATACCTCACTTTCTCTTGCACCCCACTAACTCTGACATGTGCAAAATTTAGAACCTGGAAAAACCAAGTTCTTTTGTTCAAATATATATATCTCCCCTGAGCAAAAAGAATAAATAAATTTTACTTTCCTGTCCTTTTTTGATTTCCACTCAACAACTGAATGTTATCTGACTGAAAGTTAGTAAGATCATCAATTATTTCTTTTGTGTGTGTGAAGAGAAAAAACTACAACTGTGTCATATACTCTGGCAAACATAGAAAATTAGTTCACTAATTTCAAATATACTTCGTATACACTGCATTGAAAATATTCTTGTGTTTATAGTCCTTTTAGGAAGATCAAGGACTTGTTTTGGAATCTTTCAGAAAAGAAAGAAAGGAAGGGAGGGTAGGAGGGAGGAAAAGGATACAATTCACTTTTTTGGTTATCATTTGGAGTTTTTCTGTTTTGGCTGCCTAGCTGTGACTGTCACAATGGTCACCAATAAGAATGATATCATCAATGAATAAATCCAGTTCCTATGTTTTTATAGTCTACAGTTGAGATGTTTTTTAAAGTATGCCATTCACAAAATCTAGCCCATTTTCTGTTGAAATGCTCGTGGGACATGTAAGAAAAACACTCGCACAGGTAGAGCAAGGTTGACCACAATAGCTGTCCTGTCAGCAAGCCACACAGGCCTTTCTCTTGCCTCACGTTCCATTGGTCCCTCTGGTCTCCTGGGGACAACCGAGGGAACTCACCCTAGTTTATGAAGAATGTGCGAGTAAGCCTGGCTTGCTCCGGGAAGAAACTTAAAATAAAGCCTTGTCATTTGCTATGGATTGAGGGTAAATACATTAGAAAGATATGCGTGAGTGGTGTCATTGTGTTTGTTTCCATTTTTGCATAGAACTTTAAGAATTCTTTTCCTTTCCCAACTTGTCTATTTTTTGTGATAGCAAAATAACCACGCCTCCACCCCCGTGGTCAGTGCCGTTGACATTTCGTAGCAGAAACGAAGACCAAACCTTTCAACATGATTTCCATAGGTTTAATGAAAGGCACCCTATTGAATGTCAAGTAGCAACTTCCCTCTCATTCTGAACTTTCCAAAAGAACTCAACCACTTTTTCCCCCCTCGTAGGGAAGAGCAAGAAGAAGCGTCGGCGATCCGAGTGGGTTTCATCACCTATAACAAAGTTCTCCATTTCTTTAATGTAAAGAGCAATTTGGCCCAGCCTCAGATGATGGTGGTGACCGACGTTGGAGAGGTCTTTGTTCCTTTGTTGGATGGTTTCCTCGTCAACTATCAAGAATCTCAATCTGTGATTCACAAGTAAATATTACGTCTTTATCATGTAATGGCCAATGAAATATCTGTTTTTATTTGCGGTGCATTTTGGATTCAGTCACAGGTGGTTTTGTCTTGTCAATGGCGAGGGCATTTTTAAAACCATAGCACCTGGTAGGTCTGTCTAGTTTTAGAAGTCCCTGGGTGGTGAAAAACGGTCCAGGTGCTGCTTGGCTGCTAGCCAAAATGGCGGACCCACTCAGAGGTACCTCAGAAGAAAGGCCTGGTGATATGCTTCCCCCAAATCCAGCCATTAAAATCCCCGTCAAACCCAATTATTCTCTGGTGCACCCCGGATCACTGTGAGCCAGAATTGATTGAACAGCAGCTGGCTCTTTTTAACACACAACTGGATCTCAGAGGAAGGAGTTTTATACTCAACCCTCAGCCCTAATCAACCATCTCTTTTTTGCTAGAAAGGTAATGCAGGAAAGGTATTTCCTGCTGTGATTCAGTTTATTCAGTAATGATGCTGTGATAGCTCAAGATACCAGCCACTCTTCCAAGACTTCATCGTCTAAGAGATCAGTAGTATAGCGAACAGAGGACTTTCTCCCAAGGGCGTGACTTTGAACATGTTCTAACCAAAGCCTCTCACACTGCCCTTTCCTGAGGAGGAAAACCCACCCATCGGTGTTGGACATCAAATAAATGCCGCATGTGTTCAGGCTTGAGAGTCAGTGATTTATTCCTTGAGTGTACTACAAACATGCTAACCAGTTAACCCTTTTGCCCACTAATTTCTCACAGTTTATTGGACCAGATTCCAGAGATGTTTGCGGAATCGAATGAAAACGAGACGGTCTTTGCTCCTGTCATCCAGGCTGGCATGGAAGCTCTGAAGGTGAGAGGCAGTCTGTCTCGCGGCTAGGACTCACTGCCATCGAGTCCCTGCAACCGCCGTCGGTTTCTGAGACGGTTGACGGGGACGAGAAAGCCCAGTCTTTCTCCCTGGGAGCTGCTGCTGGTTACCAGTTGCTGACTGTGCTGATCGCAGCCTAACGTAACCACTTCACCCGTGGCTATTAAAGCACCTTTAAAAACAAAGACAACCCCACTGCCATCTAGTCGCGGCTGACTCATAGTGATCCTGCAGGACAGGGTAGAACTGCCCCTGTGGGCCTCGGAGACTATAACTCTACCACAATAGAAAGTCCCGTCTTTCGCCCTTGCAGCAGGCTGGTGGTTTCGAACTGTTGACCTTGCGGTTAGCAGCCCAACCTGTAACCACTATGCCACCAGAGTTCCACTTTAAGAAGAGGGTTTTTAAAAAATGCAATTTTTAATCTATGCAGGGAAATGCACCCTGCAATAAACATTTCAGCATGTTGGTGGTTAAAGGTGCTTTCAAACTAACCCCACAAATTCATGGGAGGAAATGGCCCAGACCACCAGTTGCCCTCAGCGTTTACCTTCCATTATCATTAGCAGCTGAACGACTGATTTTGCCAAGGTTTCCAGCTCAGTTCCTCCCTTCAGCTTTTGGATGCACTTGACATGATTTACTTTAAAATGAGCTTTGTGATATCTGAACCACGAGATGTGAGGGGAAGATTCCCCAGCGTACCTTGGGAGTTTTCAAAGATGAAGTGTAAGGCCTCGTGATAACCTGTGGCAGAGACGTGAGTGCCACCCCAGGGCCCGGCTGAAGGCCAAAGGTCGGCGCCAGGATGGCCGGGTTTCCGGCTGAGAAGCTGAGCCTGAATGATTCTGTTCGTGTTCACAGTACTCGGAGGAAGGTAAAAGAGGGTAATCGGAGGAAGGCAAAACGATGTTCCTAATGATGACCTTTGCACCAGAATCAAACCACTTTGCCCTCGACAAGTCGTGCAGAAAATGAGTTTGACGTTTTTATTGAGGTTAATGTTAACTTACTTTGAAAGTGCAATTTAGTGATAACGATAGTAACAGAAAGCTGCAGTACTAGGGAGCTGCATTTATGAAGCACTTGCATGTAAATTACTGTCTAAACTCAGAACATGGTTCTGCTGAGGTGATTTTGCCTGGATTGTTTGTTTGTAAGGAGCCCTGGTGATGTAGTTGTTATGCACTGGATTGCTAACAGCCCGGTCAGCAGTTCAAGACCACCAGCCGGCTCCACAGGAGAAAGATGAGGCTTTCTACTCCCATAAAGAGTTATGATCTCAGAAACCCACAGGGTTAGTTCTGCCCTGTCCTATAGGGTCGAGGTGAGTCATCGGCATCGAATCGATGTCAGTGAGTTTCGGTTTTGGATTTGTTTGATGTGTAGTCTCATAGCACATCAAACACTACTATGGATGTTTCTCAAAAAATGTCACAGGACATAGGAAATTAAGCTATGTTTTAAAAATTAATCTACATCAGCAGTGGGGGAACCATGTCAGTAGGAAAGTCCGTGGAAGCCAATGGTGAACATTGATTGGGTTTCAGGGTGGGAAATCCCCTTTGATTCCTCACCTTGCTAAACACGAGTGTGGCTCCTGCAGTTCAGTTGGAAAGGGCTCTTGCTTCTGGTGCTGTTTTCCCTCCGGTAAGGGGCATAGAGACCCACGTGTAATTTCCCTGAGGCCCTGCTGCTCTTCCTGCTCAGATGCCAGGACTGGACTGATGCTGTGTGCATGCACTGCTAGTGTAAAGAAACCAAAAAACGATCGGCCGGGCCGGGATGGGAGGCTATTACTAAGCCAAAATGACATCAGTGCAGAACATAGGGAAGTGGATAGAGGAGTACAGCTTCCAGGGGTCCTCCGTGTGGCGTCCCAGCTGGACCTCCTAAAAGGGAACAGTACCGTAGCGTGGGCTTTCACATTGGCAGTCAGCAAGACGTCTATGGGCTGCTTGGAAGCTTTGAAAGAAGGAACATATGAAGCAGATCTGTGGGCATGCGTCCCACAGGTGAACATGGTGCTCATTGTGATGCGTTACCGGAAAGCCACTGACTGTGCGCTTCGTCACCACAGTGGTTCTCCAAGGTTGCTCCCGTGGTGCTGCGGGGCCTGCAGCCATCACGCTTCTGCACACTGCTGTTTGTGTCCCATGCACAGCATGCCTTTTTCGCGTGTTATTTTTTTGGGGTTCCATTCGCCTTGTTCTGTTCGAGTAATGTGTCATTGGATGGACCTTGAAGTCTGAAAGTGGGATGGAGCCAACATTAAGTGTCAGCAACTCAGAAATAAGTGAAGTTTGTAAATCTCAAAGGGAGTGACCAATATCATTCTTACAGAGAGGAATGAACTCGTTATAAAAGATTAAGAAATGTCTTTATAAAAAGTGCCTGTTGCCGCCGAATAGATTCCAGCTAAAGCAGGGAGCTGTGTGATTATGAAATGACACTTTGGAGCACAGTGTCAACATCAGTGACTACCCCCTGTCTGCTACGAAGCAGAGTAAACTTCTTGGCTCCCCCCATGGGCCCAGTCATCATATAGAGGCAGAACGGTGCTCTACTGCTTCAGAAGGATCATTAAGGCAACACCATGTAGTGTAACATACATGAACACTTGGATTATATGTTTTTCATACCATTAAGCCCCATGGGTTATTTTTATAAGCATACCGATTATACCAATTTTTTTTGCACATATTGCTGACTTCAATTTTATCCCCACCCCTTGTGATAAGCCTTCATCCGGATGCCTGTTGACCCAGAGATTTGGTTCCCAGTAGCAAACCCCTACCAGCCTTCCCTGGAGTTTCTAAAGCAGCTCCTCTCCCGGCAGGGTTCCTTCTCTGCTTTGCAAACTGCCTTTTCCAGCACAGGAAGAAATCACTGACTCTGTTTTGGAAATAGTTCTCGGGGGTCAGCTGGCCCCAGCCCAGGAGGTACATGAGTCTGCATATCCCAGGGTGCAGTAGCCATTCAAGTGGGCCAGGCCAACACCCCACAACCCCACACATTCTGCCATGTGGCTGGACAGCTGCCATGCTGGGGTAGTTGTGAAAGCTGTGGGTGCCCAGGGGCCCTGCACCCCCTTACTCAGACAAAGATGGATTTGACTGGCCGCCCAAGGCCCCATGAGGTGGAAGCAGTAAGCACACCCATTCTTCTGCCTCCTAGCTACCTATGAGTTCAGCACTGTTGGACCTGGATGCCCACGGGCATCGGCCTCTGCCCACCCTGGGACCAGCCCGAGCTCAGGTTGTTGCAGTCCTGCATACAGTCTTTCACCCGAACTCCTTCCCTTGGCCTGTCCAGTGGACGTACCTACCGTGATGCAGAGGGGCTACGAGCCACTGCACTGCGCCCAGGTCCAGCCACAAACTGCCCCAGCACACACACGCAGTTCCAGCTACTGGAGCACCACCAAACCCAGGCCTTACAGCCTTATTATAGAAATAGGATCAATAGGAACATTGGTCTGAATATTGAAAGATGGTGAAGGAGGTCCACGTTCACGTCTGGAAATATCACAAGCAATGCACAGTATATGCAAGATCATCTGCGTCAGGTTTTTTTTTGTATCTCTTCACCGGTTCCGTCCATTGTATGTGTGTACCCATTATTATTAGCTCCCTGTTAATCTCTAACCTCTCTTGCCATAATCCTAAGGACTATTAATCTAGTTACTGTCTCTATGAATGAAATCTCCTAGATTTCATATAAAGAAACTCATACAAAACAACAAAATAAAACACAGAAAAACCTCAAGAGAAAGCAGAATCTAGAACAAATTAAAAATGATTCAAAAGGAAAGACAAGTGGTAAAATGTTGAAATTTTCGCTAGCAGTCTCTACAATAATCTCCTGTCCAGTGCATTTTGTCTGCGGGCAGGGCTGTTCACACACCGTCTGAGAGCGTTCAGTGGAGGCTTAATGTCAATGGGGCTCTGCAAGAGGGTGTTCGGCTTTCACCGTCGTCATCCATCGCCGTCTGCACACCGGCGCTCAGAATTCAAGCTCACTTGATGCCTTTTTGACTTTTTTAAAAACCAAAAAGTACTTTGATAGTAATAAAAAGAATAGAAATGAAAAAGCACATTCATCAAGTTTTGAGATTTTTTAAAAACATGTTTAACATGCTATTGCCAATATTACTATTGATTTCACTCTGATTTGGTAGTTGAAGATGATGTCTTTTTTTTTTTTAATCATTTTATTAGGGGCTCATACAACTCTTATCACAATACATCAGTTGTGTAAAGCGCATTTGTACATTCACTGCCCTCATCATTCTCAAAACATTTCCTCTTCACTTAAGCCCCCGGCATTAGGTCATTTTTCCCCTCCCTCCCCGCTTCCCCCTCCCTCATGAGCCCGTGATAATTTGTAAATTATTATTTTGTCATTTCTTTCCCTGTCTGACGTCTCCATTCACCCACTTCTTTTAATGGCCAAAGTTGATAATATCTTCCATTTAAGTAATGGAGATATAGCCTTAGGCTTACTACCTGTACTTCTTTAACCAGCCTTGCCTGCTTCTTCTCAACGTTATATCCATCTGTGCTCTTCGATAGAAAGCTCATGTAACAGTAAAGTCCCAACACATACTCTCTCTGCCAACCGCAGCAGAGCTGAGGCAGGTCACAGGTTGCACACCTTCCCAGAGTGCATCTGTGGACTTTCCCAGGCGGTGTATTGGAAGACACTTACTGAGCAAGGCCAGGGCTGCCTGGGTGGAGCAAAGACGAAAGGCACCTTGGCAGACAGGCCTGGCGGCCTGCTTGTGAAAGGTCACGGCGTGAAGCCCTGTGGGGCAGTTCTGCTCTGCGCACACGATGGTGCTGTGCGTTGGAATCCGCTCGAGGTAAGCCAGGCAACCACCCCCTGGAACTCTCCCCGCTTAGGAGGGGTCTTCCGTTTAAACCCACCACCAGTTGCTCCGTGGCAGAGAGAGGGAGGCTGTCTGCTCCCAGAATTAACTTTAGGGCACTTAATTCACAGACAAGGAGCTTGCAGCACCTCCTACAGCTGGTTCAGGCATACCGGTGGGTCACTAGATCACTAGATCTAGCCCTGGCAATGGAAGCCCCACGCAGAGCAAAAGGAGACGTGAATCGAGGCGAGAGAAGAGAATGTGCCGTGAGATGGAGGAGCGTGCAAGCCCGCAGATCATTCCGAGAAAGTAAGGCACTTGTTGGACCACAGCTTCCAGTGCAAGCACTGTCAAGGGCGAGGGAATGCTGGAGGTGAACACGGAAAGGTAGATGCAGACAGTTCTGCCCTGGAAGGAGCCCTGGCGGACGGTGTTGCTCGTGAGCCTTGGACTGGTATCTACCAAGTCTGCGGCGGAAGCGCACCGGTGGCTCCGTGGTACAGAGATGGAGGCTGTGTGCTCCCAGGAAGATGTATATCCTCAGAAACCCTATGTTGGGCAGGAGTTGTAGGAGCCCTGGTGGTGTATTGGGAACACATTGGGCTGCTAACAGCAAGGTCAGCAGTTTGAAACCACTAGCTGCCCCGTGGGAGAAAGACGAGGCTTTCTACTCTTGTCAAGAGTTAGTCTCTCTTTTTACCCCCTCTTTTTACCCCTCCCTCTCCCACCCTCCCCACCCTTGTGAATCCTTGATCAATTATATATTATTATTTTGTATCTTACACTGTCTGTTGTCTCCCTTCACCCACATTTCTGTTATTCGTCCGTGTGTGTGTTGGGGTAGGGGTGGGGTGGCGGGAAGGAGGAACTTATACCAAGGGCTTAAGCAGAAAGAAAAATGTTTTGGCAACATGTACAAATATGCTGGATACAATGACTGTATGGAATGTTATAAAAGCTTTAAGAGCCTCCAATAAAATCATTTTTTACAAAGAGTGGCAGTCTCAGAAACTCCCAGGGGCAGTTCTACCCTGTCCTGTGAGGTCGCCATGAGTTGGCATTGACTCGATGGCATGAGTTTGGGTTTTTGTTGTTGTTGTGAGTTAGAATCAACTTGGTAGCAATGAATCTGGCTTTTTGTTTACTTTTCTTTAGGGGGACTCTAAGCTGTCTTTAATAGGCAGTGGGATCTGTGATACCCTTGTTCTCTGAGCCTCGGTTTTCCCACCCTTCAAATACAGATCATTTTACCTGCCTCTCAGGGTTAAGTAAGAAAGCCCAGAACTGCACGGAGCAGGGATTGTAGCCACTTGCCTCGGCCCTTCTTCGTCACCCGCGCTCATGCAGAGGAAGGCCTTGGAGCCTTATTCTCTAATAGGAAGCCTTCAGCGCTCTTGAGGAGAAGAGCCACAAGGTCAGGACCATAGGTCTCCAAACTTATTTGGCTTACTGCCCCCTGTACAGGGAAAAAAATTACCCAGGATGCCCCTGGCAATTAATAACTTTTATACTACAGCCCATAATCCAGGATGATAGCTGCTTTAGCCACCCTGTCTCCACCGTTCCAGCGCCCTCTAGCGGGTCGTATCATCCACTTTGGGGAAAACTGGATAATTTATATTTCAGAGTGCATCCTGGGGCCAGTGTTGAGGGTGGGTTCGAGAAAGGAGAGATTGGGAAGTTGGCTAATATAGTGACTCGCATTTAATTTTAGTCCACGTTGCTTGGTAGGCTATTTCTTGGTTCCATTGACAGGGTTTTAAATATGCTTAATGCTGAGCTGACTTTTGTGGGACCTGAAATCTCTGACTCTCAAAGGACCATCAGTGTTGTCCTGGTCACATGTTTTCCCCTTTGGGCATCATGCCTGCTAGCTAGTTCCGGTGTCTGCTGTTGTCTTAGCACAGTGACATTCTTGTGCATTCTTCCTTGAAACATGATTTTAAGTTTACTCAAGAGCTGCATTAAGAGCTCCAGTTTTGTCATCATCCTGGGAATTCTGTCACGTATGTTTCGTTTGTATAACAGGATTCACCCACCCTTCTATTTTGTAGGCTAAACCAGAATGCGGTTTGATGGTGACATGAATTTTAATTCTTCTCTAACGTATCATGATACACAGGCATATTAAAATACTGGATCTTTCATTTATAACACGCATACCTTGGGGCAAATTATCTTCACTAAGCCTTTCCACCTATAAAATGGAGAGAATAGTACCTGCCCACGGACACACAGGTTACTGTGAGGATGAAATGAGATGACTACAACACCTGGCTTCTGGAAGTTACTTACATTCTCATTTATTTCTTGATTCCCGTAAAACGAAGCCTTCCCACCCAAGTCATTGCTGTGATTTCTTAAAGGCCGCCGACTGCCCAGGGAAGCTGTTCATCTTCCACTCCTCCTTGCCGACTGCAGAAGCGCCGGGGAAGCTCAAAAACAGAGATGACAAAAAGCTGGTTAACACGGACAAAGAGAAGGTAGCGTATCCGGTTTCCCTCTGAGGGGCCCGTAGGTCAGGAATAGAGGCTGTAACCTTTGTGGAAGAAGGGAGAGAGGTAGGGAGAAGAAGCCATATCTCATTGTTAAATCCTGGACTCTGTAAATTGAATTACAGTATAATTTAAGAAATTTTATATTCCTTGGGAAATGAATGTTTTAACATCAGAATTAAAATAAGGCCCTGAGTGTTCTCCATGGGTGACCTGTGTCAGATTGTGGAGGCCGGAGGCAGGCACTCGAGGTTCCTGTTGCTCGAAATAGGCCTTTCTGGAAACCCTCAGACAATGGGAGATGGAAGAAAAGTCACAGAGGAGGACAGGGACCTGACCACATGACACCGCACGTCACTAACTCCCTGAATGTCATCGATTCTAGAAAGGCCGGGATAGCAATATCGGCTGCATTAGGGTTGTTTGGGGATTAAAGTAAATAGTCCCCATACATATATTTTACACAGCACAAGCCTACCATAGACTGAGGTAATGGTGACTACCGTAATCCATATATAACCCCTAACCCACTTCACGTTCCTGGAATTAATATATGCTTGTGTGTGTGAAAGAGAGGGGGCTTCAAAAATATGTTGAAACATTGAATTAGAATCTAATGGTTTGTTTTCCACAAACTTTTAAAAGCCCCCTTATATGTCTGAGTACAATGTTTTCATTATAATAATTCAATGGAAACTCAATCGAAAATCACATTTTAAACCAAAAGCGATTTTGTAATTTCCCGCACCTTTAAAAGAACCCTGTCCTTCAGGTTCTCTTCCAGCCCCAGAGCGGCGTCTACGAGGCCCTGGCCAAGGACTGCGTGGCTCACGGCTGTTCGGTGACACTCTTCCTCTTCCCCAGCCAGTACGTGGATGTGGCCTCCATGGGTCTCGTGCCTCAGCTCACCGGAGGGACCTTGTACAAATACAACAATTTCCAGGTAAAGGCAGCAGTTCGTTCGTTCTGGATAGTTTTCTTTCCAGCCGTTTTATTGGCAAGTGATTTACGTACGATAGAATTCAATAGTTCAATAATTCAGTCATACGAAGGAGAATTGTACAGTCACTCCCACATCAATTTTTTTTAGAACATTCCCCTCCCATGGTTTAGTCGCCTCCAGGATGAGTTATGCGATCACAATCCATACTAGTGCTCCCTGCCCCGTCCCATCTCCACCACTGACTCCTGAGACCCCCTTGCCCTCCCTGTCATCCACCCCCCATCCCTGTATTCCCTATAACCCCTTGTTTCAGTTATTCTCAGTGTGCAGCCTCTCCCCCTGTGCTGGTCCCATTTACCTTTGGAACTTAGCTCATAGGTTATGAAAGTTACACCCCCTTGTAGGTGGTTGACAAAAATGAACTGCGCAGGTGGGAAACTAGCCCTGGTGGTGTAGTGGTTATACATTGCACTGATAACCTCAAGGTCACCAGTTTGAAAGCGCCATCAGCATGGAAGGAGAAAGACTAGGCTTTCTACTCCCGTAAAGGTTTACAGTTTCAGAAACCTATAGGATTTCTGAGTCAGAATTGGCCTGAAGGCTGTGAGACCCCAGTGTGGTTGAGTCAATTCTAACGGACCCTTAGCCACGGTGGAGGACAGAGTAGAATTGCTCCACAGCATGTCCAAAGTTGCACATGGGCGTGGAGGAGCTCTGGTGATGTCAGTGGTACATGGTGGGCCGCTAACTACAAGGTCAGCAGTTCAAAACTTCCAGCCACTCCCTCGAAGAAGGATGAGGCTTTCTAGTCCCCTAAAAAGTAGTCTTAGAAACCCACGGGGGTGGAGGAAGGTGGGTTCTATTGTCATTTGGGGTCGCTCTGAGTTGGGATCGACTTGATGGCAGTATGTTAGAGTCTTGAGAAATCTCTGGAAGAAGAGTACCTCCTCTTTCTCCCATGAGTGGCTGGTAGGTTTGAACTGATGACCTTTCAGGGAGCAGCCTAGTGCTTAACCACAGCTCCTATAATCCACCATGTTGGGTTTGGGGATATAGAGTTTGTATTAAATACATTTTAGGTATTTCTTTTTAAAAATACCTAAAAATTAAAAAAAAAACTGTTTTTAATATATTTGTTTTATTTTGTTGGAGTCAGTTCATTTAAAGGGCTCAGTGCATTACACCCCCTTTCTCCCAAGCCTGAACTCACAGGCAGATGCAAGGGATGACTAAAATATTGGCATTTTCACTTGCCCAGATAGTAGAAAAATACACTCACGAATGCCTCATTCCAGAATTTGACAAATTTACGCACCTCGGGACTGAGTGAGCAGTAATAAACTTCTCCAGTCATCTGCAACTTGAAAACGATCTCCCCAAAATAGGACCCAGCACTGTGTACAACTATCTCCTTTTTCCTAACTTACGAGTCAATAAGCCTCCGTCTCCTCTTCACCTGAGAGAAGTGAGGAGGGCCTGGGAGGGAGCCTCTAATGTATGATTCTCCACATGGAAACAGAGTGAGGAGTGCTTCCCCAACATAAATGGCAAATGATATTCATCGTAGATACATGGAGTTGTAATAGTGTAGACTATTCAGTGATTTAATAACACTAAAGGTTGCAATTGAAATAAAATTAAAACAGCTTTAAGAACCTTTCCCTAGAGTTCTGGCTTAAAGTAGGTTGTTTTAAGCACACTCTAGAAGAATAGGCTTTTCATAGTCTTTAGAATTCTCTCTTCTTTATTCTGCCTGTGTTGGCTAATGCCCAACTAATGAAATTCATGGTATCTGAAACTTTTTCACTTTCCCCAAAGTATATTGTCTCTTCCATTCTAATTATTAAGATCCTGACAGATGAGAATACCATGGCCTTATGAAGCTGTGCATTGGTGTGGTCACCTGCATCCCTGTGACTTATCCCCAAAACCATGCCTCCAGGTGATGGGTATGCAATGGGCCATCCAACTATTCTGCCTTTGTTTGCTTTTTAAAAGGGTTTAAGTTACCGGCCAACCCTACATCATTTCTGGTATGATAAGGGATATTTCCTTGCATCTGATTGTAGCAGTAAATTATCATGGATGGCTTTGTTGTAATCCAAGGACAGCAGCAATAAAAACCCTTTTCTTAAGATGGGATCAGGAAACAAAATGTAACCAAAAAGGCTCGGTTTGGCTATCACGCCGCTCATCTACGTATGTGTATTCCACATGGCTGCTGCATTAAATCATGTCACACCGCATGCCTTTCTCATCCTCAAAACGACAGTAAAAATTACCATTCGATGATGCTGTAAAGGAGCAGTGATAGAAAATGATGACCGAGAACTTGGAGACACCTAGTTGTGTGTAAGTGCTACAAAGGTTGTAAGAGATTATTGATTTCTCTTCCTATTCCTCCCTCCTGCCTGCCTTTATGGAGGGGGGAAATGTGTGTGTCCGCTTCTTCTCTTTCACACAGTTGTTAGTTACTGTGGAGTCCGCTCCGCCCCAGGGGCGGCCCCATGTGTAACCAAAGGACCACTGCCCCTGCTGAGGCGGCGTCACGCTGGTTGCTCTAGGGACAGTGATGATGGCTCACAGATCGCTCACCAACCAGGTCTGATGGGAAGCTTTTTAGACGCTGGTTCTCATTCTGTGCATGCTCTTCAGCGAGCACGTGTGCAGGTTGAGTAAATGCCGCTCGGGTGAAGCGTGAACACGATTCAGAAACGCAGTGATGGCAGGGCCGTTCCTGGGGCTGGGAGAAGGTTCCACAGACTCTCCCTTGGCCGGAGCTCAGACTGTGTCCAATGAAAGGAATCCAGCACTCAACCCCAGGGTGTGCCCCAGCTTCCCTGGTGGTCCTTGCGTACATGCCATTTACTGAGTCGGTGTTCAAGCTAATGACTGGTCTTTCTCCATGCAAGCGTACTGGAAGTGATAGAGATGTGGATGCGATTTGAAAAGGTAAGACGCCTGGGCTGTCGACCCTGTGTCGTTTTTAACAGAACTGCAAGATCAAACATAAGTATGCTGAATCAGGATTAACAGATTCGAAGGAAGACGTGTTATTTTAAGTACGTTTACTGCCACCTGGTGGACACTGATGATACCATTTGTTGTTTTTCAGATGCAGCTGGATAGCCATCAGTTTTTGACCGACCTTAGAAATGACATTGAGAAGAAAATAGGATTTGATGCTATTATGAGAGTTCGAACCAGCACAGGTAATTATCACTTATACCTGATTCTCATCCTTAATCCTGAAACGTCCCGCCTCAAATCGGTGACGAGCCCACAAAGAAAATACCAAGAAAATAAGGAAAGGCAAAAACTCTTTTTATCCCACCCTTAGGTTTCAGAGCCACGGATTTCTTTGGCGGGATTTTCATGAACAACACCACGGATGTAGAAATGGCAGCGATCGACTGTGACAAGGCAGTCACCGTAGAATTCAAGCATGACGACAAACTGGGAGAAGACAGTGGAGCCTTAATCCAGGTTATTCCACGTGCACTCCCTGCTTTTTAGTTCGTTTCTGAGAGTGATCAGTGGGGAGCTAAAACGCCATCCGATATGTCAGTTGCTAGCCTCTTCATGAAAGACTGTCCTTTTTCTGCAAAGGCTACAGGCCATCCTTGTCTCGGCACACTGGTTCATCGTGGGCACTTCATGGCACGAGCGCCAGCAAACTTGGGGGTCGTACCGTGGGCATCAGCAAACGGAGTCTAGCAAGGAGGTGTGCTTTCAGACACCAGCCGGCCATTCATTCGTTTGTTGCACTCCTTCTCCGGGTCCGACCCGTGTTAAGCACACGGAAATGGCATTGGATTTTGTAACATGCAAAATTAACTAGGAACACTGGGGATTTGAGGATAGACAGGACATTTTTTGTCTAGTGGCTATAGTTTTCAAACATTGATATCACCCTTTAAAAAGTAGAAGGCGGCGTTAAGTTGAAGAAGAGCTCAATTAATGTTTCTTTTCTATCACAGATAATTGATTGCATCTTTGGGCTCTTGACATGCATATCAGCGAAAGATCTGAGTAGGTCCTTGTCCTCAAAAGAATTGTGTTTTTAAGGGAAGTGGGCCCTCTGTTAGGCTCTGAGACAAGGAGGTTTAGTTTCTGTACCTGCATCCCTGGTAACGAAATTGGAGATAGGCAAAATGCTCACATGTAGACATGTAAATCGATGTGAACGGCTCAGTCATTTAAACCAGTGAAATACACCGAAGCCTAGCATAGGGAGTGGTCGTTGTTCTTCTCCTGGGTGGTTTTACGGTCTTCAGCAATAATAGAAAAAAATACATCTTGATAAAGAAAAGGAAGCTTAATGTCTTAGCTAGACACACTGTGCAGACGTGTGCTGAATGTACGTGCAATGTACATGTAAATAAGGTCAGCAACATGTTAACCAGAAACACATGTGGCCCCATGTTGCCTCTGCAGTGCGCTGTGCTGTACACCACCATCAGTGGCCAGCGAAGACTTCGGATTCACAATCTTGGGTTAAACTGCAGCTCCCAGCTCGGGGATCTCTATAAGAGCTGCGAGACCGATGCTCTCATCAACTTCTTTGCCAAGTCAGGTAACACTCCGCTCATCCTCTGGCCAGTGTGCCTTGACTGGTCCACTCACCGAGTCCAGGCGTGTTGGTTCGTTGGGTCGGTGTATGGAAGCACGGCGGTGGCACCGCATGGTGCAGGGTAAATTCAGATCTTTACCCCAGCGGGGTGCTAAGGAGAACAGTCCTCCTCTCTGGCTCTAGATTAATGATCGGAAGTTCTCTTTCATGTTTCCTCCAAAAGAGAGGAGAGTTAAAATGCAGGCAGATGATGCTTAGAGACTTCTTGTGACATTTAAATGGACTGCTGTCCCTAATCATTAGAGTGAGCTCCTTATCCACACCCAGATGAGGGGGGAATGGGAGGGACCCTCTGGCTAAATTGCCTCCGACTTTCCTCCTGAGGCTCTATTCCCAAGCCTTAGAAAGTGCAGCAGTGCAGCCTGTTGGAGGGAAGGCTATCAGATGATGGCAAAGTCGCCTCTTTCCTCTGGGTGTAAAGTTCTGTTTTCATACTCCGAGGAAAACTCTAGAGCCCCCTGTTGCTATCCATAAGCCATTGTTCTCCATATCAAGATCACCATTGTTAGTTATAAGGGACCATTAACAGAGGATGTGGATGATCTCTTGAGCTCTGTTAGTCCTTGCTGGGTAGTCTGAAGACAATAGCAACTTGTGTGTTGGTTTTCCTGGATTCGTTGAAATGGGCTCCATTCCGGAGCTAAAACTTTTGATGCCCTTTCCCTTGTTATTGTGCACACAGCTTTTAAAGCAATTCTACATCAGCCCTTGAAGGTCATCCGGGAAATTCTGGTTAATCAAACTGCCCATATGCTAGCGTGCTACCGGAAGAATTGTGCCAGTCCATCTGCGGCAAGCCAGGTGAGCTGCCTACTGTACTGATTTGCTAAAGGCTTACAAATAGCCACCCTCCCCTCCAGCATCTGCTACGCTTGACGCCTTGGGTGATGGTCCAGGAACAAGGGGCTCCAAAAACAGTTGTGGGACAATTGAACTCAAAGGTAATGCACTTCTTCCACAACTTGTTGAGGCCCTCCCGTAAAAGCTGTTGAGTACCCTAAACCAACCCAGAAGGCAGAGAAGGCCGTTTGTGGGTGCTGTGGTATTTTTAGACAACATTCAAAACATTTTTTAAATTAATGGCTTTAGGAAATGCATAAATCCAAAAATGTGTATACATTGTGTTGACAGGACTACATGATGTGCAGACAAAAGAATGTTATATGTAATCAGGGTCACAACCTAAACAGGATTCTCTCCTCACAGAAGTGCACATTTGGTGGTGACATGTGCGTGTTTACATGCTTTGGGGACACACTAACAGTCAAGATGCTGATGGCAGCCACGGCATCCTTTAAGTCCGATAAACAGAACAGAAGCACACCAGCAGTACCATCCGTGTTTACTTGAAAGCTAGTCATAGATCTGAAGAAGCGTTTAAAAACCATTCTCTCTAGGGGATCAGCTGCTATTTTGAAAATGGAGGTCTTTTTCCATATACCTCTTTTAGTCTCCCTGCTGGAACAGAAAGAGCAAAGCCTCAGGTTCCCACTGATTTGGGGGTCTGTTCTCACATCACACCCTAGCCTGTGCTGAGCAAAGTTAGACGGCATTCTCCAGAGTTGTGTGTGGACTCTGAGGGTGGATGTGGATTCAAAGAAGACGGCAGCCAACGGGAATGCTTTGGGGCTCATTCCCGCCAGGAGTGGATGCTTGAGGGACTATCCAAAACCCCACCAAAAAGTCGGCTTTCAGCAGTAACTAGAATGTAAATAAGTTTGTGGAGCCAAATTCATAATCTAGGCTAAGGAGGGGGAAATTTTTTTTTAAGCCACACTTTTATTAGTGTAAATGTTTTCTTAAAAACTCCTTTCTGTGCTGTCCAATCTTGACATGGTGCCGGAGCCCGCCAGCAGAGCAACGGGGACTCGATTGAGGGGGTGAGGACTTAGAAAAGACAGACGCAAAAAAGCTGGGATCAGGAGG